GGCCAAGTCCCAAACTAGTTTCGGCTATTTGGGTTTGGCCACGTGTCGAAACCATCGGGTTTGGGTGACATCTCTAGTCCAAATATTCAAGTCCAAGGTGTCCAAGCTGTCTATAGCCTTAAATATTTTAGTATTAGAAATAAAAATTATATAATTAAATTCTCCGTTTAATTCTAAAAATTTTAACTAAGAAGATTTAAATAATAAAACTTTGAGCAAATTTACTTATTATTTTGTTCAAAACGTCCAAAATAACCAAAATCTTATCCAAAGGCTGTCCACTTACAACACTGCTTTTAATACTTCAGATAGCTTTTATATATCATATGGTAATTAATAGTATTCTTAATTATATTTTAAAATCGGAAACGCGCCCATTCATGTTATCGTACTTCGTTTTAAGTAATATTTTAATGAAGTACAATATAATACAGAGTTTATTTAATAAACTCCATCACACAAAGCTTGGAATTGATTAAACATGGTTAGATTAAAGATAGAAAAAGGTATTTATAAATGACATTACATGCAATTGGAAATTTTTACGAAAAGTAAATGTTAGTCATAAGTAGGGATGGATTATGCGCAGTGAAATTTTCATAATTTCGAGTTAGATAGTCTTTTGGCTATTTTGACTATTTTGACTGAAATTAATGACCAATGATCAAAAATGTTTAAAGAAAAAATTACGAGCATGGTTGAGATATACAGGTTACCCCCGTTAATATCAACCTATTTGAATCAGGTAATTTTGTTGATATATGCGAAGGTTGATAACAAAAGGGGATTAGTTATTTATGTGTCATGAAGCTTTAACCAATCAGAACACGCATTTTAAATATGAAAGATAATGATTACGATTTTTTTTTTAGTACAATAATTATGTTTTTTTTCTTCTCTAACCGACTAATGTCTGAGTTATTTAGGTTTCATTTAAGCATCTCAGATCTATTTCTGGTTATGTACTTAGATCGTGTTGTGAATTTTATTAAATAATTGCATCTACTTTTGATTTCAAACTGTTAAATTTATGTACAGTTAAATCTCTTTAAATGTACTGCGACAGGACCATATGTAACGAATTAGTCAAGCATGCAGTAAAAATCCACAAGTGTTATATTAGTTGGGCCTAAGTGAAGGTATGCATTTAGAGACGTTTCATAGAGTACATTTAGATAGGTTGTATTTAAGGAAATCTGAGTATATACAGTATCATTTTTATTTATTCAAGGTAAAGCTATTTTACTTTATGTATTATACAAAGGCCTTTTTTTGCGTTACTAATTTCAGTTTTTTTTTTTTTTTAGTAACACGAACACCATAGTACTGGGTCTTATTTAAAACCTTGACTTTTGAAATTGATTAGTACCTGTGAGCAGGGTTGGCAATGAAGTTCAATGGAACACAATAGAGCTGCGAATGGAGCCAACAGAGCTTTGAATGGATATTAGTTTTTTGAGCTCCATTCATATAACCATTGAGCTTCATTGGTTCCATTGCTAACCTAGCTCGTGGTACTTGTGTGGAATCGGGTACTATATTCAAAGTATATTCATTTGAAAAGTAATAAATTAATATAGTCTTATTTAAGTAACAGACCCAGTAGGACAATGAATAATCCCGGGGTCTTAATCATATAGGATACTATCGTGTTATACAGTAATATTGCACAATTCATAAATTGATAAATATAGTAAGTGACAATAAATATCATTTATTTTTATCACCAGTACATACTCATACTCTTATACGATTTTTAAACTACAGAAAACCAAAAAAAAAATAACGAGAGAAAAATATATATATATATATCAAATATAAAAAAAGAAAAGAACTGAATGCCAATGGCGTCCCATGGCAATTTGGCCAAGGGAAAAAAAAAAAAAAAAAAAAAGAAAAGAAAATACTGTATTATTACAGCTTAACCTCCCCTGCTACTGTTATTCTTCTTGAAATATAATAATCATTTCTCATAATTCAATTGAATAAAAAAATATTTTTAAAAAAAATCAGTTACCTTTTTTTGCTCTTTTGATTTGAATACATTTAGGCGAATTCATTTTAACAAACTTCGCAATTGTGGTAAATCCTGGTTCTTTACAAATTTTACTGGTTCTTGTTGTTCCACATATTGTATTAGTAAACTACATTGTTCTAATGCAACTGAATGAGGAATTTTTTCAATTTCAACATTACTTTCTTCGTCACTACTACTGGAATCTGACTTATGAAGGACTTCTTCAATAATAGCAGCCTCATCTAAAACAATCTCTTCAGTTTCAAGAGTATTATCAATTCGGATATAATCATTAGCAGACATTACATTCATATAATCAGATGGGATTTCAAAAATAAGATTTTCAACTGCAATTTTGGCTTCAATTTCGGCTTCAATTTTGACTTCAATTTCAGCTTCAATTTCAGCTTCAACTTCGGCTTCAACTTCAGCTCTAACTTCAGATTCAACTTCGAATTCATTGTTCATTGTATTCCAACTTAAGTGATTCCATTTATTTGATGGCACTATTTCAGTCTTTTTCCAGCAATTAATGATCGTTTGAGAAGTTACACTATCCCATGCTTCCGTAATGAACCTGGTCACAGAAATATTAGTTTTATTTATTTATTTATTATTTTTTTTTTTTAATTTTTAATTTTTTTTAATTTTAATTTTTTTTTTAATTTTAATTTTATTTTTTATTTTTTATTTAAGAAATAAGAAAAATTTTAAATTGATTAGTTGCCAAATTAACAAGTTAATCAATAATCGATTTTTCAATACCTGATTGTATTTAAAAGGCTAATGTGAGGTATTTTCTTATTACTATTAATAGCGTTGATGGCATTCTGAAGAAATAATTTATGATAATGGGATTTAAACGAGTATATTATTCCAGCATCACAAGGTTGTAAATAAGGTGTTGTATTAGGTAGCAAAAAATGAAGCTTGACATATGTAAGTTCACAATTTGAATAGGATGTGGCACCGTCAACTAATAAAAGAATTTTTTTTTTCTTTAGCCTGCAGGTAGTATTCAATGATTTTATCCAACGTTTAAAAACTTCCCCTGTCATCCATGCTTTCTGACTAGCATCATATTCAACACCAAGATTTTTTTTCTGGATGCCTTTGAAACAACGTGGTTTAACTGACTTTCTGATAACTAATGGTTTAAGTTTATCTGTACCAGTTGCATTCATACAAAGAAGAACAGTTACTCTATCTTTAACTTTTTTTTGTCCTTTCACTGGTTTTGTTGCAAGTGTTTGATTAGGCATCATCCTATAATTAAGATTGTAAAGTTATTGTAATTTTTCATGATTTTATATAATTTTATAGTAAGTTTCGATAAATTAATTTTCATGTAATTTGTAATTTTTTTTTTTTTTAACTACATAATGCATATTTTAATTTAAAATTATATACATTGTAAGTTTGTAACTTCCTAACACGACCCTACCTATAATAGAGACCAGTTTCATCAGCATTATAAACATCTTCGGACTTATATTGTAAAAGTAATTCGACCAACTTTTGTCTTTGATTAGCAAGGTCTTCTACGGGCACACTTTCAGATTCTCTCTCAAGTTTATATCTCCGAAGATCATTCCTTTTTTTAAACCTACTCACCCAACCTTGGCTTGCCTTAAAATCATCTTCAGGCATGTTTAATAATTCTGCAAATTTCTTGGCTTGAATTTGTAGAAGTCTATCTGTTAGTATTCCATTTTGTGAGAGGACTCGTTTTGCCCAAATAGCCATAGCATTTTCTAAATCAATAAATTTTGCTGGTTGATTGACCTTTTTTTTTTCTTCAGACTCCGTTAGTTGCATAGACAACCATTTTTCTTTTTCCTTCAAGATTTTTGAAATTGTACTTCAATCATAACTATATTCTGCAGAAAGTTGATCAATAGTAAGAAATGGAATATCACGCTTTCGTTGACATATTTCTTGTTTTGTTTTTAATGACATAGTCATTCTTTTTTTTCGTAGTTGTTCTGGTCTTTTATTCATTTTGTTCTATTTGCTGTTATTATAAAATTGTGAATTTACTTTTAATCTTTATTTATTTTTTTTATTTATTTTTTTTTTTTAGTTTTCATTTATTAAGACTATTATAGGACATATGATTTGAGCGAGTATAATTAATTTATATTTCTTTAAACTTATTTTTTTTAATTATAGCTTATTATCTTTTTTAATTATGAATGAATTAGAGGCACTAAAGATACTTGTTAAAAGCAAAAGCTTTTTATATTGATTTTATTTAAATATTTTTATTATAGTAATTAACTCCTTTTATTTTTTTTTCTTGTGTTTATGCATAGCAATAGAAGAGAACTCTTTGAAAGGAATTACAGCCAGCTTTCTCTAAATACAATTCTCCTATTCTTTCTGAATATAGCCTTTGACCTTGTCCAAATATATACTATACCCCCGGAGATACAATTTTTCTTATTGTTTTATAAACGCAAGTCAAAGTCTGGTCTTTATGAATTGCATTAGAGAGTTTAACTATATTAGCTGTATACATTCTTAACACCAAATATTTTATCTATTATAATTAACATATATGATTTGTTTTTTTAGGTACTGTAGTTCTATAGTTTTAAATCACAGTTCCATAATATTAGTCATGGAAAACTGTATTATAAAAGTACTGTATCATGCATGCAGATAAGCATACATGCAGATAAGCATGCATGCAGATAAGCATGCATAGTATAGTACTGTACTTGGATAACGATAAAATCAAGATCATTAGAATTTTGATTTTATTTTATATTTTATACTAAGAAATATTATCACGAATGATACTAAACTTTGAAGTCTCAATTTAAATATAAGCCCTACTAAAATCTACATATACTTCATAGATGAAATAGATTCAAATTTCAGCATCGTCCGTGGCAAATATTAATTTTATTTATTTTTTTTCTTGTATATTTATGTGCAGAAGAGGGCTTTCAAAATGTAAATGCTGCCGTAATTCAAAAAAAGAAATTTTAACAACGAAAATGATTATATAGTAATTATTATCAAATTTTCTTTTTTTGAAATACGGCAGTATCTATACTTCAAAAAGAATTACAACTAGCCTTCTCCGCTCTTCTATCTCTCTGAATGTGACCTTTTATTCTTGCCTAAATATATACAGACTCCTAGAGATATTATTGTTTTATAAATGAAAGTTAACAAAGTCTAGTCTCTATGAATTGCATTTAGGAAAGTTTAACCATATTACGTAGCTGTATACATCCCTTTAAATCTTTTACCACAAATTTTTTATTTTGCATTATCGTTAATATATTATTATATGATTAATTTTTTAGATAGCTTCATAGTTTTAAATAATGGGTTCTATGGTATTAGTTGTGAGAAACTGCATCAAAAAAAGTAATATACATGTGGATGAGCGTGCATAGTACTTGAGTAGCAATCAAGATCATGATAATTTTATTATTATTTTGCACTTAACTTTAGCTGTAACATAATTGAGAATTTGCTAGCGGAATTTTAGCATCTAAAGAATTAGAAAATTCTATTACAGGGATCTATTTGAAAAAAGGTTAAAGCAGATCAAGCTATGGGTTTACAATTAGCTACACCTCTGAATATAATGATATCTGGATATACTGATAATTTTTAAAACATTGAACCCTACATACTTTTAGACATATCCAACAATTTATTTATTTATTTATTTATTTTTTAAAGAGTGTCAATATAATCAGGGTGATGTATATTAAAGTTAAAATCAGACAAGTACTGTATTTGAGATAAATTACCTTTTTGATTTTTTTATTACAGCTATTTTCATAAATTCTGGAACATCTGGCAAAAAATAGTCCGAATAAATATTGCCAGTTCGATAAGTTTGTGATTCAGTAGTGATAAACTTTTGATTTGAATGTGAATTACTGTAATTCATATCCAAATCAAAAGTTTATCACTGCTGAATCACAAACTTATCGAACTGGCAATATTTATTCAGACCATTTTTTGCCAGATGTCCCAGAATTTATGAAAACAGCTGTAATGTCTTAAGATAGTTTACAGTTACTCATATAAATTAAAATTCCTAAGCTTTGTTTGCACTAATCACGTTAATTAATATTAAACGCATATTGATTTTTACTAGTCAAATTAAAAAAATTTAACACATTAATGGCATTTTATTCAATATGAACTTTTTAATTTTGGCTGTGTTTGTAAACTAGTGTGTCAAAAACTTATGCTATTTAGGGTGCTCTCAAGCATATACATGTGTGCCTAAATTATTTTCAAAAAAAAGTATTTTCAGCAAAATTTCAGCATTGCTAAACTTTTTATATGAAACCCTTTGAAATAACTATACTATATGATGTATTTTGATGAAAAGAGTTCAGAAAATTTTGGCAATAATTTCAGCATATATAGAAATTAATTTCAGCACTATATAAGACTAATTTCGACTGCCTAAATGCTGTAATTACTTTTTTATTAAAATGGGCAATTTAGGTACACATGTATACTCAAGCATCTCAATCAATTAAATAATGACCATGGTGAAGCTCAAGCATCTCAATTAATGATAATATTTATAGAATTAAATGCTTGAGCATACCCTTTTTCTATTTTTCTGATCTTCATTATGCTACCTAAAGCATCTTAAAATATTTCTATTCAACTAGTTGCCAAAACTTTCACTTCAGCTGTATCAGCTTCTTTTTTTAATGATTTTACCAATTTAAACATTTTGTTGCAACAGCAACAGAATCAATTTTTAAAATCATTAGTGAAAGTTGCATTGCAGCAACAAGAAATTAAATTTTTTTTCTTGCGAACATTGTTTAAATTTTATTAAATGAAAAATAGAATGGTTACAGCAATATAAAATTGATTCAAAACTAGCCTTTAATTATGCATACTTAATAATAGTAGCACAAATAGGCATGCAAGCAATAAAATGAAAATTAATTTAACATAATTCTTACTTTAATCCCGCCCTAGTCCTGATATAGATAAAACAAAAAAAAAACATTTTTTAGGAGTGTTACAAAAAATAAGCAGATAAATTAAAAAAGACTTTGTGCTTGCAAAATTTTGTCAAGTTGATTACTAGCTTGTTGATCTAAATAACGATAATGCTTTTTCGATGCAAATTTGCACTACAATCTAATTGGTCAATCCATTTTATCACGTGTTGTTTATTTAATTCTTATTGGCTAAGGATATCAACGGGGGAATATTTACTATAAAAAAATATTTATTTATGTTGATAGCAATATTAATGAGGGATTATAATAAAGTTGATATATGCGAGAAATTTTCATATAGGGAAATTTATACTACAGGTAGAGTTGATAATAACGGGAAGTTGATATTAACGAGGTTGATATTAACGGGGGTAACCTGTATGTCGAGGAAATATGCTATGTAACTTTGCTTTACGTGTACAGGATGAGATTTGCTCATCCCTGATTATAATAAAATAAACAAGATGTTTAGGATTAAGAAAGATCCAAGAAACAATGGTCACATGATTTGTTCGAGTAAATATGATAATTAATTTTAAAAATTTGAAAAGAACGGTGCGCAAAAACAAAATGTTGCCCGGACGAGTACAAGTTATCTATATTTAACGTGCTTAATGGGTCTTGACCCTTTAAAATGGATTCGATTTGACGAACTTAAGAATGTTAACTACTTTATTAAATAAACCAAAATGGATAGGTGATCAATATAAAAGAGAGGATACAATAAAAGTGATTTTGATAAGTCTTGATTACTTACATGAAAATATTTCAGACGTTATAACCAAAATACATTTAAAATGTTATGACCAATTTAGCATACAAGATATATTAGGTATCTCTCAAGACCCACGAGATAGTCATTTATTTATTGATCATAAGAATGATATTTATGTAAGAAAAACGAACCTGCAAAAAATGCAAAACTCTAAACAACATGGATAACTAATCATTAAAAAAAATTTTAACGTATTGACAAAGTGGAAATAAAGATTTCATTGAATTTATTAAATATTTGGATGAAGATAAATTTAGCAAAATATATTCGGTAACTTGAACTGATGGAAGAATTCTAGAATGGAATGATCAAACTCAAAAATGGAAACGAAAAGAGTAAAATGAAGGTCACTTTGAAAATTTTATACAATTCATGTGCTAGCTTTGATAAATTTTTACAAAAGGAATCAAGTCACGGGACATATGATTTACTATGTCCCGTAACTCGCACCATTTGGTGTTACGGGATAACAGAGACCCAATGACAAGGAATATACTGGTCAATTTGTAAAGATACATTTTATAAATTGTAAATAAAGAAAACAATATTGACTCAAGGAATGATTAAAAAATGTGTCTCATTATGAGAATTTTTTTATATATAATTCATTAAAATTCCTAATGATAATTTAAATCAAAACAAGCAAACCGGTGAAATAATTGGAATAAAAAAAATTTTTTTAAGAAACTATGTATAATCATTTTAACATTTTTTTCTTTCAACGAGAAATATGTGAAAAAGTCATCGGTAATACATTATATTATCCTTTTTACTTTTAATCTTGCTATTCTCTCGTTATAAATTAATTTTAGTTATTTCATAAACATATCTTATACGTGTGTTTTATCCTTTTGGCTATTCATTTTCTGCCATGTTATTCGTCAAATAAATTTATTATAATAAACACTCACGCGAGATAAACTTAGCATATATTTCACATATCGCGTATTACAGTTTTTAGTGATAAATTATATTAAAATGCCAATATAAAATCCAATTAATGTGATTTTTACTATTCATCAAATTTATCTAGCAAAATTACGTAATTACCTCACGCGAAGATTCATGTCTAGAGATGTCACCCAAACCCGATGGTTTCGACACGTGGCCAAACCCAAATAGCCGAAACTAGTTTGGGACTTGGCC